TCTCGGTCTCCTGGCTTGGGCCTGCATTCTGTACTTTGGCACGGGCCTGCGATATACGATGGATGAGGAGGATGGTTCGGTGGAGCTCTCAGAAAGTGAAAGTGAAGACTCCTCGGACGAGATGTGTTCCACCCATGAGTCTGACCTCGACGGAGATGCCAGAGTGTGTTCAGTAGCGCACAAGCAGCGCGCCTTCGATGGCCTTTACGTTCCACGCCAGCTCCTCCTTCCGATTCTGTTTGCAACGTTGTCGCAAATCTCGCAGTGGGGCCTTGCCTTGTCGCTTGGGCAGACTGGCGCGATGAACGTGGATCCTGTGGCATGCGATGGGAAAGTTGGCAAAGAGACTTATCGATGGGCCTTGACCAGCTCTCAGGTCATGGTGCCCTTGGGTTCCGTCATGTCCTCGGTGATGCCCAGCCCCCGACCCATCTTCTACGTTATCGCCATTGCGCAGCTGATTACGGGCTTGCTAGTCACATCCGCGGCCTTTGGGATGCTCGGACATCATAAAAATCGTTCTCGAATCATGCAGCACAAGCTTTCTCAGCATTTTTTCTGACCTCAGCAGTGCTCAGGATCTATTTGGATGCGTGGAGGACGTTCACAAATATCCTCGTTGTAAAATAACATGAGATAGTACAGTCTAGTTTAATACCATAGTTTTGTAATGCCGTAGTTTTGTATAATAAAGTGTAGTAAAGAAGAGTATAGTATAGCATCGTACAGTGTAGTGCAGTATAGTACATTATAGTAAAGTATAGTACAGTACAGTATAGTACAGTACGGTACAGCACAACACAGCACAGCACAGCATCTAATCTAGTGTAGTCTAGTCAAGTCTAGTCTAGTCTAGATTTTTACTCTGTCCTGCAGGACACCCTCTGGCCAGTCACTCTATGTTGGGTGCTTTGCCGCTACGGCGGGCTTGGAAGGATACTTGCTAACCATGGCTTTCCGCTACATCGGCGATGCGGTGGATATTCCCGGCAAGAGGCGGCAAAGCTCCAGCCGAGTCTTGAGCCTTCTGGGTGTGATCTTGGTCAACCCCATTTCTCTGCTTTTAGGATCCATGCTTCAGACCGACCACATTCGTTGCATAGAACCAGGATCTCATTGAATGTTTTGCCTGCACCTGACGATGACTTCCATGGCGCGCTGCCGACAAAACGTGTACTCGCGTGACGGTTAGCCGGACAGCATCTGCATTGCTTCGCATTGCTTCGCCCCTCGCAACTTTGCATCTCCCTCCGAGGCCTGGGAACCAGAAGAAAGGCCAAGCCGTGCGGCACTGTCTGAAGATTTTTGCGGAGCAGGCTCCCGGGTCTCTTGAAAAAGCCACCTCGTACTCTTGCCCGTACCACGGTCTCTGACCAGACGGAAAGACGAGCCTGGAAGTTGTTGGTCCAGGCATGGCTTATTCAGGGCTCCTGGAATGGGGCCTGAATAATTAGAATAGGGTTTTGGGGCCCATTATACTATATACTATAATTATAACAAGGAGCCCCCAAAATAGTAGAGGTAAATAATGGGCCAAGATGAGTGCTCCTAAGTCGGACTCATGCTGCGCTTTGGGCATAGCGCGGCGCCAGGCGATCCCTGAGAACGAAGCCACACAGCTCATGCCACCATCTCAGCTTTCATTCTGGAGGTTCCGGAAGTAATGCCGATAAGCCACTGGTCACTAGTAGTGAGCGCGGCTGCAGCTGCCGGATGAACCAGATGCAGCTGTAGGTGTGGAAGCTGCAAAATGTCAATGCCAGGGCTGCAAAAACTGCAGCAGCAACTCAGGTTGCTTTGCTTTATCTTACGATTCCCGTTCTTTCCCGTGCAAAGTGACTGTGCTGTGCTTCATGCAGCCCGCCCGTGCGTGTCCCATCCAGGAAAGAGAAGCGGAAGGAAAACAAGGAAGTGGACAAACAGCTTGGCCAAGCAAAGGCGAAGGTCAAGCAAAAGGCTCCAAAGAAGTAGCCGAGCCAACTGTACATACCAATAGCTGCGAAGATTCCTCATCCTTTTGTCGGTGAAGTGGACAGTCCCGGTCGACCCTTAGGAAGGACAGATGGACGACCGTGTGTAGCCCTGCAGAAGTTCAGTTCGTGCCCACTGCTGTAGCTTTGGATGCTGAACTCCTGCATCTGGACGACGGCGTATGGGCCAGCGAGCTGCAGGGAGCTTTATTGCTGTATTGGGTGCAGACGCGTGGCTCTTTCAAGCCCGGCTGTCGGCAAAACAGCTTACGCTAGCGTACATGATGTCTGATTGATAAGCAGTGCTTGGCATTTGCACAGTACTCAAGCGTGCCTTCACAGCTTTCCCTTGCAGCAGGTGCCGGCAGATTTGGAAGTGCTGCTGTCCAACCTGTCTGAGTTTACAAAGGCCCCTCTACCAGTTTGATGTAAGTTTCAGACGTGAGAGATCGGTGTTAGTATGTCCCACTCTGATTTTGCAGTTTGTGTTCGGACGGAGCCAAACCCGCCTGACGTGCACTAAAATCTGGAACCAACAGGTTTTGAAGCAGCACTGGGACGATGTCAAAAAGAATTCCCAGCACTACGAGCGGATCTTCAGTCCATGGCTTAGGAATGCCCCGCCATGAGGGTCTGGTGTGACTCCAAAGCTGAGTGCCCTTTTCGCTATGCAGGCGGTGATGAACCTTCAGATGCTGCTTCCAATTGAAAGATGAAAGAGTAGCCGATGGCAGCTCCGAGACGCCTGTTTCCCGAGCAGGGCAAAGTCCTGATTTTGGAGGACGGGCATGCTGGCCATCGCAGGCTGCACAAAACACTGGATGAGTACTATGGTCACGCAAACCCGATTCCATCAATTCTGTTGTGCACGTTGTGTGCCGCCTGGGATGCCTAGCCTTTTCTGGTGTTTCTTCCATCCACTGGACGTCAAACTGACGACAGGTAACATATGGTGCCAGGTTGCACAAACACCACGTCGAACTTGACCCTCATATTCAAGCAGTGATGCAGCCTTTGGCACTCGTCTTTTGCAATGGTGATCTCAGACCAGGAGATCAGATAATGACGAGTTTCACCGCATAATTATAAAAAGGAGAAAGCAGCTTGGCTCCTCGCTTGTTCGAGAGTGAACATGCGCCAGTGTCTGTACTAGCTTTCTCAATGGCCACTGGAAGCCCGATCTTCACTTCTGCCGTGCCTTCGCAGTCTGCAGGCTTGCTGGCAGGGGTTATAGATGGCAGCAGACACGGAAAGACTGAAGGTTTCAGAGTGCTAGCCTAGTCGAGGCAGATACATTGAGTCTGCCCAAGTGCATAAAAATTCTGGGCATGCCACATCTTCCATCTCTTGAGTAGCAGACAGAGGCACCGGTCCCGTGCAATGGAGTAGATTCCGCCCTCCGAGCTCTTGGCGATCATGGCGTTGCTGGAAAGCTCGGGCCACTTCGACCAAGATGCGCATGTCCGGATCGCAATGAAGTATTTGGAGGAGAAGAAGGTGAAGACTTTGTTGCGTGACTTGACGCAGTCGCTTCTTCTTGCTCAGCCGGCGGATCCCAGAAGCTACATCTTGGAAGAGTTGCGCTCTGAGACATCCGGGCCTTCAGGCAGCAGTTCGAGCACGAATGCCTGTGCTTTTCTGAAGTCTTCGAGATCCTCCGCGCGAGATGCGGTGCGCGAGCTCCTTCGAAGGGCGAAGGATGGCCTGGCCGTGCGGGCTGTGTCTTTCTTCTCAGCTCCCAAGGGCCGTGGCCGTGGTGTTTTGGGCCTTGGCGATGCGTCGCAGCTTTCCGGCGATGCTTTCCTCCTGGTGGACAGTTCAGACGGTCGCAGCCAAGGGGAAGCAGGCAGAAGCACGTCAGGCTGCAATACTGCTTCAGATTGCTGTATAGATGATGTTTGCCAGGTTCAAGCGTAGTCGCGGAGTGTAGCGTGCTTAGACGTTTGCAGAAAAAGAGGCTCTGTTGTTCTTGTCCTGGCTTCCGCTTTAGACGCTGAGGCCTGGGTTCCGCCCTTGCAAGCGAGTCCGGTGCCGCTGCCGACACCTGCGTTGGAGCCTAAAGACGGCCCACGGCAAGCGGTCTCATGTCACCGATCTGTGCTCCTGTTTGAGGTTGCATGGCCCGTGAGAAGCGCGCAGGGTGCGACCCACAGCTGAGCAGCTCAGCCTTGGTTGAAACGGTGCGGCGATGTTTGGCTCGAGCCCAGCTTTAAGTCTTAGTTCGGGTCCACCGATTTGGGATTTACAAGGCGTGCTGAGATGTGCCAACGTGGCGGTACTGTTCGAGTTGCGCTGGCCAGGAAGCATGGATACCACACCGACAATGCGATAGTATTCGCAGCTGGCCTACCATGAGTTTGATTTTGGTGTTGAACGTTGCAGGCTTGAACAACCACTGTGTGCAGTAGCTTTGCTGTCGGTGCGGTGCCCCGCTATTATTGCCAAGTGTAGTCGACTACAGCATGGCCAAGATCCAGCAATCCAGGGGGCTGAGCACGCGGCTGATGCTGTCCCGCGACTGCAGGCAACAAAGCAAAGTGGTGCAGGGTGTTGTGTTCGCCGGCAGATTCCAGTGCATTCCGTGCCATGTGATGGATAGGAAAATGCAACGGGACTTTCCGGACCCTCGGCAGGCGTTGGCACAAGTGCGGTCTCTACTTTTGGGGGCCTTGATGGTCCACCAGGTTCAAGGTCTCCCGTCGTGCCGCGCCTGAGAATGTCGCAGGCACCTCTGGCAGTTGCAGACAGAAGACGATTCTCAGGGCAACCACATAGAAGAGGCAGAGTTCATCCTCCAGTCTCGGCAGACACCAGGTGCTTTAGGCAGAAGTTGTTGTGATTGGAGCATCTGCAGGGACTTGGCCCGCACCTGCTGCTCGAACCGCAAATGAGCCGAAAACCCGTTTCAATGGCAGGGTGAGACGAGCAAGCTGCCTAGGCCATGCATGTGAAGCTTAAAGGCCGACCAAATCAAAACACGAACTGCAAGCCGAGCACTGCAAAATCGCAGACACATCTTTTCTGCAAGCAATGGCGATGCGCTTTTGCGGTGCAGCACAATTGGCAGTCTGCATTTCTGGCAGTCTCCCTGCAAGTGCATCTGCGCAGAGCGCTCGCTTCTCAGTGCTGCCGCGAATTGAAGCACGAAAGTTATCGACAATCATGGAAATCACAGTGCACGCCACGGATGCCGGCAGCTCAGACTGGCCGTTTCTTCTCTGTAGGTGCGGCCGTACGCGGCTTACACTGGCCTTGCAGCTTTCCCGAGCAAGCCCCGGACTCAGATAGGGCTCCCAGCTAGTTTCCAGTTCTGGCTAAAGCATGACGGATGTGCGGGCAGGCTTGCAGCATCGAGTGGCCCTGCAAGGCTAAGAAGGAGCCGCATTCAGAGGTGGGGGCAAAGTGGGTGTAAAGCATGGTCCTGCTCCGCAAGTCCTCCACGCATCCAGAGGTCACAAGACACTCAGAACGACCCTGGCCTGAGCCCTTCAGATGGCCTGGAGACACGGAAGCAGACACTTGGCCGAAACCATCGAGGGAGCTTCATTTCGTCAAAGAAGCTGGGGTGTCTGCGAGTATTTCTCAGCGCCCGATCGCTACTGCCGATGCAGCCGAAAAGCTGCAGAATGCCCAAAAGTGGCAGAGCGTGGTGCTGTGATTTTGTCGGGGACGGTTCTTGGATGATCCGTCCTAAGGTTTGGTTATCATGAGTCCTGAACCCTTAATCCTTAACTTTCTTAGCGATTGCTGGCTGCTGCTCAGCTCCGAGTTGAGTCATGCTGCTACGTCTCCTCGTCCTCCTCCGCCTCATCGTCCTCTTCGTTTATGCACTTTCCGACTGCGTCCTTGCCCTCGTTTGGGTCCAGAGAAGCCTTATTCTATAGCTGGCCACTGGAATGTTTACATGCTTCGTCGGCTTTCGTTTGTCTCTGCATCTGCGCGCTGCGTCAAGCCGGCCCTCAATCTCTGACAGGGTGTGGAGGCCACTCCTCAAGGGAGGCACCGTGGGAAGCCTGGCTTTCTTGGCTGGCATTGTGGAGGCTGCGTGCGTCACCAGATATCGCTGCGCCTCGGCCAAGCATGACAGCTCTGTGAACACATGCTCCGATATGCTGACTGGGGGTGCACTCGGTGTCGCGTTGCCAGGCTATGTTAATATGATGACCGGCAACACTGCGCCTTGATGTCTTGGCAGCCTTTGACACCTTTCTGTGTTCGTGAGACTACGTAGGCTCTAAGACTCTAAGAGTGAGGTGGCCGCAGAACCGGATAAGGTTATGGCCGGAGCTGCTTTGGCCTTTGCCCAATGGGGTAAGCTTGCGTTTTTTTCCACTTTGTTGCTTCACTATGCAACTTGGCTCGAGAAAGCGCACTTGGTTTTGAAGTTGCTGAGACTGCTGTAGTTCACTGTGCCAAGATGGCCTGTGTCACAGCGCCATTGCATGTAAGAGGCTCTGTCTACTTTCGCATTCATCTGCAGAGCGTGTTGTCCTTTGCAGGTATCTGGTTTCGTGTTGTTTCGCTTTCTGGATTCGCGACTCGGGCCTCGGAGGGTTGCAGCCACTGCCCCGCCGCTTGGAACAGCATGGCTCACGGGAGCTTTCCATGTGAGCATGGGTCTGAGTCTAGTGAGATATATAGCATTCTTGACAAAGCAGCAACATAAGGTTGATTCTAAACCCTAAACCCTAAACTCTAAACTCTAAACCCTTGACAAAGCAGCAACATGAGGTTGATTCTTCTCATCCACTGTTCCTTTGACGCCTTGCGGCTGGTCTTTTAAAGCGAGAAGCTTTGGTAGTTCTGCGAGCAGATTTTTATCCGTAGGCAGACCTAAGTCCTCGTTTCAGGTTTCTGTAAGGAGATTCAGTTTTATCAGGTTTCTTAGGAGGAATACTGCGAGTTAACCCGAAACCTCAAATCCTGAACTTGCGAAACAGCCCTAAACCCTAAACCCTAAGCCCTAAACCCTAAACCGATAGGTCTTGCAGATACGACTCTTCGTGGCCTCTGCCTCTCTTGGCGCTGGGCTGCGGCGTGGTGAACGCCTTTTCATCCAGCAGTTCTGGTGTGGCAACCTGCCGTACTCGTCCCTTTTTGTCTTGTCTGAGATTCTCATGGGAGTTTCCGAAAATTAGGGTGTCCTATTTGGGGGTCCTTATAATAAGGATCCTACTATTTAGGGTACTACATTAGGGAAACCCCCTCATAGCTTTCAGGCATCCTTGTTGGGATCCTTGCTGTACGCACTTCCTGTCCTATTGATTTGGCCCTGAACCTCCCACACTCTGGCAGCTGGCTCACTGGTGTGGTGCACAGGTCACCAACATGCTGACGGGACATTGGCATATCCTGGCAAGCTCGACGGCTGACGTGATGTCTGGCAGCACCCTGGACCAAAGCAAGCGCAGTGTCGCGCGACGAAGCTTAGGCAGGAAGACACGGAGAGTCTGAGATCGAGTTGTCAAGCGGTACAGTGGCTGCTTCGTTCACCGTTCGAGTGGAAAGTTATTGTCCTGTCATCTGCCAACTGTCTCTGTGCCTCCATCTGACATGCGATGCTGCGACAGGTGTCGTGTGTGCTTTTGTGCTGGGCGTGCTCAGTGCGCAGCTTCTGCTACGTTGCGGCCTGCCCGTGAGGCTGCGGCTGGTCCAAGCAGTTTGCTTATTCGCAGACCTTGACAAGTTGAAATCAACTATGTAGGTAGAGTTTGTCCGCGTCAGGTTCTGGTGGCTGGGCGTGGCATATGCATGTCTGTTCCTTCTGCATGATGCTCCACAAGCATGGCCGTCTTCGGACGTTACGTCTGCAAAGTTCCTTGTGGTCTCCAAATCTTGATCGCCAATGATGAGGTTTTTCTAACTTTCGCAAGCAACCTTAGCCGCAAGTGCTAGGATTTAAAGCTTGCCCGCTGCTTCTTGCACAGAATCTTCCCGTTGGACAGCCCCCCTTTGAATTCTGGGCGTCCTGGTCCGAGTGCAGCCAGAGGTTGAACGACCAAGTGCTGGATTCAGTGAAGTAATGAAGCCGCTATCCGTTTCGAAGTTCTGCCCTGCAGATGCACCAGACAGGTCCATCTGTTCAACTCCAGTCTTACTATGTCCTCCGCACTCCTGTTACTGCTTGCAGGATTGGAAACCAGCACTTTGCTTAAATATTCAGCCCTTCTGTTCTCAGTTTGGCCCCGCTCTTCCGGGAATTCTGGAGGCCCCATTTCCCCGTTGTGGGCGTTTTCCCTGGGCTGGTTACCAGCTCCTCAACTTCCTCAGTACACCACATCTTCGCATAACTTCAGTGGACACTCTGGAACATTCCAGAACTGAGAAGCTGTGTTCCCAGCGACTTGAACCGGACCTTGAGCAGTTATAGCTCGGTTTGCTCCAAAGGCTCGACTCTACTTGCAGCTGAAACCAGATCGCATCTGCTGCAAAACGAACAATGCTGGCTCATCTGAGCTGTTTCTGCGAGTTGCGTCCCAGCTGGCGTTCTGTGCAGGCAAGACGGCGAGATCGAGTCCTGTGTGGTGAGGCAGGAAAGTCCCTGCCCAATGAGAAGGGCAAGCTGCAGGCAAGTCTGCTTGCCGCCCACGACTTGAGACACGAAAAGTACAGAGGAGTATGATAATAATCATTGTTATTATTACAATTGTTATTATTATTGTTATTAATATGATGATTATGACTTTTGCTGAAGTCTTTCTCGCCGGATCCTTTGAGGCTCAAGCCAGCGTTTAAAGAGCCCGATTAGAGATTTCTGTGAAGCTACCTCCTATGTGCGAACTCTGGAGACAGTGGACGGAGGTGGAGGTCCTCCCCGGATTCGCCCGCAGCTTCTGCTTCTGGGCTTTGGCTCTGGGCCTCTTCTTCTTCAGGTCTTTTGTGCGGGATGTCGAAATCAGTGCAGAAGCCTCAGCTTCTGAAGTGAAGTCCTGCTGACATGGACCCAGTGTTTCTCAGGTGATCAGAAATGTGTAATCGACAACCATGAGGCAGGCACTATCCCCTTACACCCGCACTACATGACCTGCCATGCCACAACCCAGCTCCAACAAGGCCCAGTCACAAGTTCAATTTGTTGTCGGAGGTGGAAATTCTTCATGGCCCTCTCATGGAGGGTGTCGACGTCCAAGATCCTCGTGGAGTCTTTCGCATTGCACAGGCTGCTTTCACTGCCTCTCCCAGGAGCCTTCGTACGCTGAGAACTGCTGCCAGCAGATGCGCCCAGCGAGCATTGGAAGCCCTTTGCCAGAACTGGATGTTTATTGTCTGCGGTCAGCTCGGGTCAGTGATGCGCTCGTGCCATAGCAGGCTTGTCCAGTGCCGAGATGTGTTCGGCCAAGCTGGTGGAGAGGCTTGGACCAGGCCCAGACTTTCCAGCCAAGACACGAAAGTCGCCTGCCGAAGGAACCGCACAGTAAGTATGTCCAGCAGACCGGGGCCCGAGTGGTCGTCGGTGCCTCAAGCCGCTCAAGCCTTTAAAGCCTCAGCTGTCAGGGTCCCGCCGAGGTCCGAAACCCTCTCCGTCCTTCTGAGCCCACGGCTGCTTGGATTTCTGCCAGAGTACGTTAACAAGCACCGAGGAAGTGGTAGCCACCTGTGCACCACGCGCTGAGCCTCTAATTCGAACCTGCATGGCATCGACCGCCGGTTGGCCAATTCGTCAAGAAGAAGGGACCTCTGAGAGATGTGCTCTGCAACTTTCGTTCTTAAAGCTGATGTCCTGGGCAGTTCACGCCTGAAAACGGAGCTTTCACTGGCCAGGCTTCAATTCCAGGAGCTGTTGCCGGAGCTCACTTTGTCCGTGCAGCTGGCTTGGATGCTGCGTCTCAGGAGCTGAGGGATCTCGAATCTCCTCATTGCGCATTGCGTTGACGGCTGCCTCTCTTGGGAAGGTCTCCAGATGAGCCTCGCCTGCCTCGCCTGAGAAGCACGTTGAAGCTAAGAGCTTCGTAAATCCGGCACCGGTGCCAAAGAATCGATCATCTTAGGAGCCTTCTGAGTCTGAGGGAGGAAGCCCTGGCTTTCTCACAGGATGAAGAGAATTCACGTGTAATACTTCTCACTGCACCTTAGCAAAGGATCCTGAGGGAAGGCCATCGAAGACCGACCTTGTGCTTACCTGCGATCTGTGATCTGTGGCGGGCAAAAGCTTGCAAACTGCTTTGGAGCGTCTTGCTTCGTTAGGCTGCACCGCTAGTGCTGATATGCAGAGGTAGGGAGGAACAACATACCTTCACTGCGCCTTCATGGCAAGGTGTGGAGGGTGTCTTGCTTGCTGAGCTCAATCTGCCTGCAGAGGCAACTCATTCCTCACAGCACGTTGCAACCATTGTCCGATCTTGCCTGGCCAGCATGTCAGGTCAGCGAGACGTTGTCCAGTTTGCAGCTGTATGCATTACTCCTGGAAGAACGCCTCAACTGCATCCACTGGGAGGCTGAGGCGAGTTGGAGTGTGTGGGAGACTTTGTGAATACCGAGTAGTGACCAGCATTCAAGACATTGCTGCGAGGCGCGCCGATCTGCAGCAGTGGTGGAGAGCCTGCTGCAAGGGGTGGAGGTTCTCGTTCGGCACCGAGCTGCAGCGGAATGTGCACAGGCTTGCTGCGTTGCAAGGACAGGGCCGCAATTCTGAGGCCAAGCCGTCTGAAGAATGGCGGGAAAGCAACATCCAAAATGCCGCCGAGGTTCACCGGCGCTCTGCATGGCAAGCGTAATGTGGCACTTTCAACATGGCCACCAAAAATCAATGAAAAGACGGAGTGAATTGCACCAAAGTTTCCTTAATACTGCTCCGACGCAATTATCAGGCTCGGCTAGTTGGTATGTTTACGCATTATTGGCTTGTGTATAAACAACTCACGCCCGGCCGACAAATTCAAATTGAGAGTCAGCAAGTGCACCAATTCTTGTTTTATTTATGACTTGTAGTCCATACAGTTTGTATATTTGATGCATTTTCCCAAGTTTCTTTAGATTCAGCATCACCAAATAACAATCCAATTCATTTAAACGATTTCTTGTTTATATCAACTACAATAATTCTATCAATTGTAAATTGTAAATGTTCCACATTCATTTGATTTTTATATGAATTTTCAAGACCAATAAGATTTTACCACCACCACAATAATCACCAATTAGTTTACAAACACAATTTAGCTCTCTGGAGTGGGAAAGAGCTCCACATTCGTGCTTTGCGCAGGTGCCCAAAGAGGTCCTCAGAGGTGGGAACTTTAAGTATGAGACGTTGGGATGCTCCTTCTGCAAGCAAGTCGCCCCCAGGTGGCATCGAGCTGCCGGTAGCATCGGTTTGGGAAGCGGACGACAGGCCACTTTCGGTTTCTGCACGGTTTTTCCCTCCACATGTTCAAGACGGCCCGCCCTCCCCTTTCCGATCAGGTTGGGCTCCTTTGTCAAAGTAGGCGCAGCGGCCTGCACGATTCTTAGCTGAGCCTGGGATTGCCTCTTGGATCCCCGAGGAGGTGCAGAAGGACGAAACAGTCCGAGCGCTTTGACGACGGAGGCCCCGCTGTCACAGTCTGTCGGATGGCAGAGCAGAAGTGAGTGGAGCCGTCGGATCGATCGCATCATGCCGAGTCTGGCAGATAGGAACTCAGAAAGTAGTACCAGCATGCTGCAGGCGTTCAGGTTAAGTTCCGAAGACGCCGCGCGAGTCATTTGCGCTGAGGCTTTGGTCTCAGATTGTGTGGAGTAATTTCAATCAGTCCCTGCAAGGGACGCGCTTGGATTAATGTCACAACGTGAATTTGCAGGGATCATGGGACGGTTCCGGGAGCAAGCTCCGCTCTTGGTGTGTAAACGTCGGCGAGGTCTCCAACTGATGGCAACTTGCGATGCCCAGGCCAACTTCCTCAAGGGAAATCTGCATTGTGCTGCATGGAATCGGCAAGCCCCGACCTGAGATCCGCATGCCCAACTTGTCTAAACCTCTTGGACAACGTTTGAAGGTAAAGCGAGCTTCTCTGACAGGCCCACTGTGCTGGATTTTTCCGACGATCCGAGCTCCAAGCTTCCCTGGCCTGTTTTTTTCATGCCGTGCACAGCATGCACTTGTTTTCGGTGGACTTTGCACGTGAGTTCTTCATGGCAGGGCGGTGGAACCGTTGAGGCCAGCTTAGCTTGAAAGGGTCACCTCGCACAGCATCGGCTGCAGTTAAGTTTGTTGGTGCTGCTCGCTGCATTGTTGTGGAGGTTAGATCACTTCGACATAGTTGCAGCGGAATCGTTGCGCTCTTACACACTTCTCGGCCGGCTACCGTTTCTCGTTCCAGAGATGTCCTAGGCTGTGCGCGTCTTCCCTGCGAGCCGCGTTGCAGGTTCCGACGAAAGAGTGCATGTTGAATCATCTTGAACGATCGTATTCTAACCGCCTCAGGCCCAGTCCATGCTCAGCGAGCTAACCAAAAGAAAGCATTCAGCAGAACAGATGCAGGCGAGGAAGTGGTGACACTCGCAGTCTGTGTCGGCAGATTTGCAGCGCCCGACTCGCAGTCTTTGGTCTCCGAGCTGAGCATGACTGCGAGCACCACGGACTTGGTGCTCAGCATCGAAAAAGCCGTGCAGGCCTGCGCTCGGCCAAAAAAACCCAGGATGCTTGCAGTGCACAGTTCGAATGCCTCAGGCAGTGACCCAGTCCAGTAGATGCATGGTCTTTTTCATCGATGATGACGAGGCAAAGAGGAAAAAGCTATGCAAGAAGCTGGCAGTGCCATGGTCAGGGCCGCGTCTGCCAGGCCTGGGCTCCTCCGACGGCTACGGTGCCCGAGCCTGCGCGCATGGTGTTGGACGTCGGGCTTGGGCCTCGAAGCTGGCGGCAGACCCGTCTTTTTTGCTGGCACTTGGCTGGTGGTTCCGAGGCTGCCGGGCAGAATCGCCATGCTGGCCAAGGACAGCGCATTGCTCAAGCTGGCTGGCTCTCATCATTCGTTCCTACTGCTGCACGGCAGTGGCTTTCTGTTGGCCGTGTCTATCCTTATTCACTATCTTACCTATGCTACCGCGCCTGTCTAGTCTGTCTATCCATCGATCGATCTACTTGACTATCTGTCGAATCCGGTCCCAGCCCGAAAGCTACTCGCTCTTGTTCAATGGCACTTCCTCTCATTTGTGGATGAGTCTTCGGTTTTGGCCTTCAGGTGCCTCCGGGTATGCGTGTGCGTTCGACCGCCCCTTCGCCTGTCCCCTCCAGGCCTCGGTCCCTCCGGTTACGAAGGGTCGTTGTTCTATCTCACACGAACCCTTAAGAGTGGAGGTGCGAGTGCAGGTGAGAGGCTGCTGTTGATGCCTCTGTATCCCTTTGCTATAATATTTGCACTGTATTGGTGTCTCTATCGTCAGTCAATCTACCTATTCACTCTCTGTCTCTCTGTCTCTCTGTCTCTTTCTCGCTCTGTCTCTCTCTCTCTCTCTCCCGCTCCATGTGCGTAAAGGTGTGTATATGTAAGCTCCGGTGTGCATGAGCATACATAGTTACACATATACATACACACACATACATACATACATACATACATACATACATACATACATACATACGTAATTACATACCTTACATACGTACACACACACGTACATACATACAAGCATGCATGCATATACACACACACAAATGTATGTATGGATGGATGTATGGATGTATGGATGTATGGATGTATGGATGTGTATATGTATGTCATTATGTATGTATGTGCGTATGTATGCATGCACACACATAACATCCTGCATATACATGCATAGGTATGCACATACAGCTGGATAGGTGACTACGTTTCTACTAACAGGTATACGTCTAAGTTTGCCTGCACGTGGTAACCATGCGCTCGCTTTGGGGCAGGAGCGATCCGAGCCACTTGGGGCGTTGATTTACAACGTGCGCCCCCTCGGCTTTTTGCCATGTGCAGTGTGGGCCGAGAAAGATTGTGTCGAGTTCCTTCGGCTTGAGGATCCCGCCACCTGCCCGTACTGGGATGACGTGGAATTTGCCTCAAACTTATTTGCTTCATCTGCGTCAGGTCGCCTGCAGTGTGCTGCATCCACTTTCTGTGAGTTCAGGGCGTGGACCAGAACGCTAGCGTTATGGTCGCTCCTATCATGAGTGCTGGGAAGGCGGATGTGTTTGTGTGTGTGTGTGTGCTTTCTGCTTGCTGTATTGTTTCCACGCTGTACTCACAAACAATCCCGGCAGTCTCTCGCACGATGTTTCTTAAGTAACATCTTGCATTAGGGGAGGACTGAAACTTGACGGGGCGGCTCCTTCCGCGAGTAGACTTTCGATTTCAAGACAGATCAAAGATTTCGGTGGCTGCTCACAGGATCTGAAGCCCCTTGGACTCATTGTGGCCAGCGCCAAGACCTCCAGGTCCAAAGAGGTGCCTGGGGTCTCTGAAGTAATAGTCCTGCTGAGAGCAGCCTCTGCAGGGCGATTTGCTGTCCAAGCTGTGGGCTCGCGCCTAAGTCCGTGTGACTCTGTGACGGCACATGGACTTCCCAGTCTTGGCCACGAAGCGTAGCTCAGGGCCCCATCAGTGTGGATTTTACGCAGCAAGACGCAGACTTCCTGGAGTGGCTTGCAAGCGCAGACCGTGCCTCAGCTGCTGCGGAGCTCTTTCTTCAGGCAGAGCTCTGACAAAGAGCAGACCAAGCCTGGAAGGCCAGTAGCCACCTGGACCGCCTTTCGCTGGACGTGATGTGGACACGAGTCCCTCCCACAGTTGACGGTAGATTGGTAGATGCTCTACAGGTTGAAATGTCCTCCTGCTATACTCAATCTGGCAGAGACTATACTGTAGCTGTTCAGAGCAAAGGCGCTTCTGGAACGTGAAGGGGGCGAAGGCGCTGCACAGGCCAAGTCTCTGAATTTCCAAGCAGCCGCCGCTGACAAATGCAACTGCTCGTCGAACTGAAAGTTCATCCTTCGTTCAAGTTATATGAAGTGTTCGTGGTAACATTCGTGATGCCTTGAGTGGTAGGACGAATCCGAAGACTTGCTTGTCTCGGAGTACTACACAGAGGAGGCGACCGGCATATCCCCAAAAGTGGGAGATCTGGGTCACAGTGGGGCGCAGCCTCCCAAGCCGAGGCGATGGCGACCAGGTCCAGAGCCCGCACGGATGGGAGCACCGGAAGAACTGGAAGCAAGGCGGTCCACGGAGATTAAGTGGTACAGCAGCAGCCTGATGGAGCTTTCAGCAAACCCTAAACCCTCAAGCCGTTAGCCTTGAGTGGCACAGTAGCAACCTGATGCATCCTTTCAGCATGGGGCAGGCCTCCGGTCACGGTCGATCCGTGGGTCGCGTGAATACAGTTCACAAGTTTACGGGTCACGTTGCCACCGCGTGGGGCCCGGCATCTGCCGTCAGCTCTGCAGTCCTCTTCTGTGGATACTTCACTGGGTTCTTGTTAAGGGATTTACTTTAAGTTACCATAATAGGGATCTATAGTAAATAATATGGTTTCCCTATTATGGTAACTTAAATTAAATCCCTTAACAAGAACCCAGTTTATCCTCTGGTGTGGCCGAGGCTCTGGACTTCACCTCTTCGAAGGGCATGTTGGCATTAGCCACTCGGCGACAAACCACGGCAAGCGGAAGATTGTTGTTGCGGAGGTGAAGGGGGAGAAGGAACATTGGATGTTTCGTACTCGCAGGTACAGGAGGTGGAGAAGACCTGCATTAGGCCCCGACAGCTTAGCGAGTGCCTCTGCTTAGATGTGCAGTGTGTTCAAACGCGAGGGACCTGACCGCGGAGCCTCATGTGGACGTGTCACAGTGGGAGATCGATTACTGGGCCGACGCCTCGTTCGAAATCGACACTAGGGATCACTAGGGTTTGGGTGAGTGTATGCCGCGCTTAGTCGGCAATATTGGTAAGAGTGCATGGTTCCTCCTTTTGGCGACACTGTGTAGAAAGACACATGCCCTTAGATCCTCGCAGACGGAGCAGGGCTGGGACTCTCTGGGGCGCTGTTTGGTTTCTTTGTGCGCGCACCAGGGCTCGAGAGAGCGGCCTGATTCGGTTGAAAAGGCAATGCTGGCGGGGCAGACCTGGGTGGTCCGGGTGGGTTCACAAGCAATGTCAGGGCGTGGCTCGTGGTTCTGCACACCCCAGTGCATGTCCTCGCCTAACACGTGGCCCACCTGGTCACCACTAGTTGTCGGGGGCAACACTAAGACCGTTTCGGCCAGCAAGGGCGACGTTCAAGTTCGATTTCATCGAGAGAGTCCCACTCAACAGCAGCACTTTTCGTATGTGCTTTCTCGTCGAGATGATTTTGTAAAGGATTCGAAACACGCGTGTGAGGGCCTCGTTTCATGCAAGGACTTTTGCGACTTGACCGGCGATTGAGCAGCGCTTCTTTGGCTTCCCATGTGTCCGTGCTCCAGCCGAGGTCTTGACGTCGCATGAGCAATTTGTGCTGCTGGTGACGGCTATACGTCAGCTCAGCGCCCAAGAAATCTCGGGAGTAACGAGAGAGCAGGCTGGCTTGGAATTAGAAGCTTGGCAGTTAGCCAAGTCACAGAGACGGATCGAGGCTGGACATTTTCGATCACCTTAGCATCGACGACGGTGCTGTCCTTTCAGGGAAGCACTTGAACTTCTTCGCTTGCAAGTTGCGGGATTCTATCTGAACTTCTCTCAGGTGTCCTCATGCGCTTCTTCCAGGCACAGTTCCAGAAATAGTTGAGAAGATATCCTGGGCGTGCATGTTACGTGTTCTAGGCTGTGAAGAGCACTTACAGAAGCGTCCCGCTTGTGGCTGAATTGCTTGATGGTCTCTTCTTCTCTTTGACAGGGGTTTAGAGAAACCAGACCCGAGGTTCCACAACTTCCACCATGCAATGTCAACTACGCACTATGCTTCGAAGATGGCAAAGGCACCGGTAGTTCTGCAGCAAGCTCGAGGAACACAGCGCTTGCGAGCAGGTTGCAGACCTTTCGGCGTACTTAACGTACCCTGAGCTGTTTGCCCTTGTGGTTGCAAGCTGAGCCAATGCAGCGAATGGAACGAGCTGGAAGTTTGTTGCTCACTGCTCTGCTTCATATGTATAGCATCTGAGATCGGAGCGCTTTGTCATGATCTCGATCATCGCGGGTACGCCCTTATCTGTGGGTTGCACAAAACCAATTGCGCATATTCAAGCATGCTCTTAACTTTGAGGCACAGCACACAGTCCGGGCCCATTGGGCTGTGTCAGAGGTATAACAACGCCTTCGAGATTATGACGCGCAGTGAGCTCGCGCACGCTCCTCGGAGTCTTCCGTGCACCGGGCTTCGATTCAAGCTAGCCCTTGAGCAGGCTTCGATACAACGACTCCTCCCCCTTGGAGAATCATCATTGTGCCAGGCGCAGACTTCGCAAAAGCTTAGCGCAACAGGGGAGCCTGGCGCTGTCTCAGAAAAATTGCGCAGGGCGTTCGAGACAGCTTTGAATGGTGTGGACTGCAACATCTTTGAGGTCCAGCTTCCCAAAGCTCAAGTGAACCAAGCTTCCCCATCATTGCTTGCAAGCGCTTTGATGAGTGTCGCTTCAGGATCTTGGTCCCGAAGTCTACAACCTCGTCCGTAAAAGGATGGTTGCAGGCTCGCTCCCCTTGTCTCCCCCTGTCTCTCTCTCTCTCTCTCTATCTCTCTCTCTCTCTCTGTGTCTCTCTCTCTCTCTCTCTCTGTCTCTCTGTCTCTCTGTCTCTCTCTCTCTCTCTTTGTCTGTTTGTCGCTCCTTCCCGGTGTGCGTATGCGCGTTCGTAGGGAAGGAGTGAGCATCTTTCGATCGTGCTGCAGGCATCCTTGCCACAGACATGAAGCACCACGGTGAACATGCAGTGGCCTCGGGTCATCTCGGGTCCACAAACGCAAACGCACCCAGCTCTAAGTCCAAGAAAGCTCGATCGACCACTGAAAAGAGCGGGATGTCGAAAAGGGCAAACAAAGGACAGGTTTCTTGTGGCTACTCGGCTTTTGGTAGCGCAAGGTCGGCATCCTGAAAGAGTTCGAGGTGTTCCGACCTTACTTCTGTTCTGCTCAGACTGCCCAGGCAAGCATGTGGAATTTTCCGCATGTTGCGTCTCCGATTTAGGGGAGAGCCCTCCGACTCGCAGAGCCAGTTTCTCGTGGAGGTTCTGATGCACGCAGCGGGTCCCTCAGCGCAGCAGGATCCATCCACCCGCGAACGCACGAATGCTTCGGCTTCTTGCAGGCGGACATAAGCAATCCCTTCATGCCACCTGACAAGTCCAAGAGGCCTGAGACGAAGCATGTGCTGCGATGGCAACTTAAGCAGTGCAGGGCCGAACGACATTTGCAGGAGTCATTCTTGCCTGCATATGTTCAGCAGTAGTCCTATGCATAGCTCATTCGAGCGAGACAAGCACGGATAGTGTGTCACGGTGGTTGCGACAGCTACGGTCATTCGAATGATGGCACATCTGAGATAGCGCATCTTTTGCAGCCGCTTCTAGTGTGGCAGGTGGGCTGTATGCCTCAACGAGGAGTTCTCTCTTCAGGCTTACCTGCAAGATTAGCTGAGCTTGCAGCTTTGCGAGAGCTGCTGCAGGCTGATAAGGAGGCGGATCTCGGCTTACCGGTCTGAGGCCAAGTGCAGCTTTCATAGGATAGGTTGCACACCACGACGCCCAGAATCGTGGTGCCAAGCAACTGCTGCACAGTAGTAGCATGCTGTGAGTAGATCCGGCAGAGCTTCGTGGCCCAAAGCCCGAGAATGCAAAGCCAAGATGAATCTTGAAAGAACATCACGGGAGTTTCGCTGAAGAGCCAAGCATGAGGTGACCTCCTTCATGTCGGGGCTGCACGAGCCACAGGTGGCAGCAAAGTTTCTGGCTCAGTTGACTGTGGGAGCATGGCCAACGAGTGAATCTCAGGGTAAGACATGCCTGACTCACGCCGATGGATGGCCACGTAGGTCGCTGTTGGGCTTCATTGATTTTGTGGTCACTCCCTTCACGAGCCGAGCTCTCAGCAACCAGGACACGTTATGGTGCTGTGCTTTTGGTGGAAGATCTCCAAGGTTCTGTCTTCAGGCTGTTCCCCGACCTTGCCGAGCACCTCCCTCGGGAGAAGCCTGAAAGTAGCACGGGTCCACGAGACTCATCGATGTGAGGCTGAAAAAGTTTCTGGACCAGAATCGGGAAGCGGCGGCGATCATCGTTGAGGAGGCCAGAGTTGCAGTCACCAGGCGAAGCGAAGGCGAAGCGAAGGCGAAGCGAAGCAGTGTCGCACAGCCGCCTGAAAGAGGCCACGAATGCAAAAGGCTCTGATCGGCGGCCTGCCAAGAAGTCATGGCAGTCAGCTTTGACGAGGCCCCAAACAGTGGTGGGCACTTGCTAGGGTGTTGGCCGCACATGATCGTCTTTGAGTAGAGCACTTGCTCTTCGGAGGTTGCGCGGGACGAAAGACTCCACCGGCTCAACAAATCCTTGATACAGAAGCTGGGCTGAAGCACCTTGAAAGGTGGGCAGTCCTCAAGAGGTTACGTAGTTGTGTCAGACGCCAAGGAAAGCTTGCGACTTCTGAATTTGGCGAACGCGCCTCAATGAAATCGGCGGAATGCCGCCGCCGACTACACGGCTAGCACTTAGAAGCACTTTTATCTGGTCTGCCAGTGTGGGCACCAGGCGGTTAATGACGGCTGCTCGTTGGCAGTAGCGGACGACGCATGACACCTAAGGGAGCAACAAAACGTAAGAAGCAAGAAGGCCAAAGCTTGGAAGCTCCTTTCATGAGCTCCCCCGGATGGATGCCCTTTGGTGTTGTGTCCGCCCCTCGCAGAATGGCCTGAATGCAGACTTCGACATCCCAGGATGCAGATTGAGCCCTTTGCAGAAGTCTGCAGTCAGACGAAAGATCTAGAACGAGCAGCTGATGAGGAACCTTTGATCCTTTCTGCTCCACATTTCATGAGCTTCATATTTTCCTACGATGTCAGCACAGCTGCTTTCCGTGGACCTTCTCAAAGAGAGGGCTCCGGCTTGCAATGAGCACCGCACATCTCACAAACATCGAGCAACAAGCTGTTTTGCTGGAGTCGCAGATGCTGACTCCAGGAGCTGGTAGGCCGTGAACTCATGGAATTTGCACCGCCGAGAGAGTAGTTGCATGCATGTTGTTGGTTCAATGATGCAGCTGGTGCTCCACAAGCGGGCTTTTGTGTCCATGGCGAAGGCGGTTTGAGGGTCCGTATTCTGATGCATTTAAACTCCCGAAAGACCTCTCTAACTACAGGCTATAGCCTGTCGGTCTTGCACTTCTTTGGGAAGGTGGAAGGGAGTAGGGGTCATTCAAGGTTTAGGCCTTTAGTTGCGCACGACTCGAGAACCTGCGATGTCCGAACCCCCCGAGCCGACGCCGCGGAGCCTGGCTGCCAGTGGGCCTTTGGAGGCTGCGCAGGTCGCTGAGCTCACGGGACAGGTCTTCCAATCTCTCGCCAATGGCAAGGCCGGAACGTGAAAAAGTTGACCTAGCTTTCTATCCAAGTCACACTCTAGCAACATTCGAAATCTCTTCCAGGATAATATGCATACATATATATATATATATATGTATACATCCATATATATATATATATACACACATACACACATTAACATGTGTATGCGCACATCCATGTATGTATGTATGCATGCAGGCATGCATGCACGATGGTAGGGAGGTGGATGGGTAGGTATGCGGCAGGCAGGCAGGCAGGTAGGCAGGGGGGCAGGAAGGAATGTTGTCCCCCCCCACACGCGCATATATGTATACACACACATATATATATACATATATACACATACGTACACACACAGACACACGCGCATACGCAGACAGACACACAGACAAACAGGCAGGCAGGCAGGCAGGCAGACAGACAGACAGACAGACAGACAGAAAGACAGACAGAAGGACAGACAGACAGAGACAGAGACAGAGACAGAGACAGAGACAGAGACAGAGACAGAGACAGAGACAGAGACAGAGACAGAGACAGAGACAGAGACAGAGACAGAGACAGAGACAGAGACCTGACTCGAACACTGGCGTAGCGCTTGCGCGCAGGGGGTGGGGCCTTCACGACCCCCCCTCCAAACGCCCAGCAAGCAAGCAAGCAAACAGAGACGGAGATGGAAACACACACACACACACAGACAGAAGGACAGACAGTTAGATAGCTGGATAGCTAGATAGATAAAAAGATAGCTAGATAGCTAGACAGCCAGATAGCTAGGTAGGTAGGTAGGTCGGTAGGTAGGTAGGTAGGTAAGTAGGGATGGATCGATAGACATACACAGACACATAATTTTTCAGCTGAGACGTTATTAGAATGGTTCTTTCGAAGGACACCATCGGTATTCGGGAGTTCAAGAGCACGGCGAAGTTCTTGGCTCAGCTCTCCGAGGACTTCTCTGCCGATCCTGAGGAGGCCTTCAGTCGGATCGATGAGAACCAGGACTTGGGGGCTCTGGCTTAGGAGTGTAGGGCCAGGGCTCAGTTACTAGGTTTAAAAGTTTCGGTGTAGGATGTGTGGGTGCTAGAGCCGATTTGAACCAGGACTACCGGATAGACCGGGCCGAGTTTGAGCAGGAGATCAATCAGATCAGAGGCTTGCTGGGCACCAGGAAGCTGGCTGCTGCTCTGGGGCAGGTGCAGCAGGATCTCCAGATTCGCCAGTCCTTTGCAGAAGAGGCTGCTGTTGAAAGTGCGCAGGAAGTTGGCACCCTGGAAGCTCGGACGCAAGTGCTGGAGCAGATGGTGGGGTACTTTTCCACCCTTCGGGAGGACTACAGCCAGAAGCTCGAGGACCTGAAGCAGCAAACTGCGATGCAAGGCAAGGCCAAAGCGCCTCCCAGAGCTCGGGTCTTCGCGGGGCGCAGCAAGAAGGTCGCTGAAACTACGAGGAGCTTGAATGCCTCTCTGGGTGCGAGTGCTCGGCTCGAAATCAAGAGACAGTACACTCATCAAGATGATTTCGACGGCCCGGAGAGTCAGGCGCAGGGCCAAGAGCCCGCGGATGATGATGCAGCAGACGATGAAGAAGGCGAGGATGACGAAGGAGAGAACCAAGAGTTAGAGGAGGAGGACGCAAGCAATGACGAGGATGAGGAGGACAACGAGGATGACCTCGAGGAAGAAGAAGACGACGAGGAAGATGATGAAGATGCTGAAGAAGACGAGGCGGACGAGGCGCAAGAAGACGAGGCAACCCAGCTGATAGCGGCGATGAGTGCTGGTGAGACTCCAGCGAAGAGTGACTTGGAGACCACTCTTCCCCCTGGCAGCATACCGGAGGAATCGCAGGGACCTGAGACGACTCAGCCTCCAGCCGGGTCCAGCTCGCATGAGCCACAAGCGCCCGCAGAAGCGACGGCCACGGCCGAAGCCGCCACGGCCGAAGCGGCCACGGCCGAAGCGGCCACGGCCGAAGCGGCCACGGCGGCGGCAGCGATGCCTGATTCTGCAAGTGAGGCGCCCGCCCCGTCTGCACAGCCTTCGGGCGGTACCAAGAAGACCAAGGCTTCGAAGAAGAAGCCGAAGGCGAAGCCCAAAAAGGAGCCAAAGAAAGCTCAGCCGGCCCCGGCCCCTGCCCCGTCCAAAGTGGACTCGCAGCGTCCCTCACTGTCTGGTGCTACCGTCACCGAGCCTTCAAGCACCAAGAGCCAGAGCACCCCTGCCAAGCCCTTTAAGAAAAGCACGGACGAGGAAGGCTTTCGCTGTGTGCAGACCTTGGAAATGGGCATGGCCGTCCGAAATGCGATCTGCATCGGCACCGAAGTCTGGACTGTTGATTGGGCCGGCAATGTGACGGTTCGCGAAAGGGATGATGCGACGAAGGTGCGAAGCGAAATTCCCACCAACCGGCTCCTTGGTTCTGCATCGCTCTTTGTTGTGTAAGACCCTGTTCTAAATTCTGCCGTTTGAGATGTCTCAGCACCAAGAAGAGGTTTGTTTGGTCGATGCTTCACATGGAGCCACACCTCATGTGGATGGGCCAGGAAGCAATGGGAATTTCCTTGTTCGACACCAAGCGCAAGGAGTTCAAAGGATCCCTGATGGGCGGCCACACAGGGGGTGTGACCTGCCTTGCTTCAGGTGATGCTCTCGACTCCTCCGAAATGAAGGAGGGCCACATCCCTCGAAGAAGGGCCTGGAGTGGTAGCAACGACTTCACTATCCGGCAGTGGACAATCGAAACCTGGCACTCGAAGGACCAGGGTCCACAGGTGAAAGATGCCTTTGTCTTAGAGCTCGGAAAGTTCAAGGTTGCGATCTCAAAGGGTCTGCAGATGCACGGGCACAAGAACGGCGTTCGATGCATGATTCGCATCGGCCCCACCCTTTGGTCGGGCTCCGACGACGGGACCATCCGCCTTTGGTGTACGGCAACTGGTGCTTGCAACGAGGTTGTGGAGAAAGCTCACACAGGCTCCGTGCTCAAGCTGTCCGTCGTGAGATCCTTCATCTGGTCTTCCGGTATCGACGGCTTTATCCGGGAGTGGACCATCGGTGGAGCCGAGCGCCAATGTGTCAGGCGGAGTCCAAACCACAGAAAAGCAACAAGTAGTTGGAGGCTCATGGGTAGTTATAAGTAGGGATATAAGTAGGGTAACTATAGTTATAACCCATATTAGGGGACTTATAAGCCCACTTTTAACTACCCATGAACCTCCAAGTACCCCCGAGTCCGAGCCCAGAGCCGATCGAAGGCTCACCAATTTGTAAGCTTAGCAGTGAGTTTTGCCCCTTGAGGCAGATCGCGCCGGAGGGCTTTGCCAAAGGGGCCTATGCCATTGTGCCTTTGGGTCACGAAGTCTGGACATGTGGTCACCATCCCAACATACAGGTTTTTTCACAGTCCGACTTCTTCAAGACTGCAGAACATCCGGCACATGATCCTTACGTCTCGAACCTGCTTACGGTAGACCGAATCGAGACGAAGATTGTGTGGTCAACCTCCATCGGCGACAAGAAGCTCAAAGTGTGGCGGCACACCATTCGTGGGGAAGTCCCTTCCATAGACGAGCTCAAAGCAGCGAATCGTCTGTTTGAGGAGGAAGAGGAGGCAAAGGGAGAGATGAGAGCGGTGCTGTGCTTTCAGGAACCCCTCAAGACCCGACATCTTAAGATATCTTAAGCCTAGACCGAAAGTCGGCAGACCCTTGCCACCTTGAAGAGCCTGTTTGGCAAGAACTACAGATCTGGCGGGCAGGTGCGAGCCCAGAGGATGGACGAGTTCGTCAAGCGAGCTTCGAAGCTGGAGGAGACACCATCCGGAGAAGACTCGTTTCCAAGGGGGTTCAAGCCGTAAACTAGGTTGATGATATCAATCCTGCATTACCCATTGTAGGGAACCTACCATAATTCCCATACTTTAGGGCCCTTAAGGGTAGTACATCAGTACAAGTGACCTGCAGCAGCTCTCCAACAGGCTCCCCCAGCTAACCCTTGATCTAAGCCCAGCTGTTGAGGATCTGGAAAATGCAGCGTTCGAAACCCATACCGTAAACCCAGAACTCTAAACCCAAATACCTACTACTGCCCTAAACTCTTATAGCTTCTACACTAAACCCTAGACCCTAAACCCCAAACCCTGAACTCTGAACCCGTAGAGCCGTCGAGGATGAGTTGGCGGTCTCTGCTGAGGAGTATCGGGCACAGCTGGAGGCTCGCAGAAGCGTTGCTACTAGGGTTCGGGGTTTAGGGTTAAGAGGTTACATGCTATACCCGAAGAGACCATTTGTGTTAAGGCTCTTGAGTTTGTTGATGCAAGATGGGAGACCATTCCGTTTCGAGTGCTGAAGTTGGAGGACCCAAACTGTAGAATTTGGGAGTCGACGTTTAGTTTTTTTGGAAGTTCCTCTTAAGAGAATTCCACATTGGTATCCAGGCCCTGGCCACCGACCTGGCCAAGTCCAAGGCTCAAGAGGAGGAGCTTGAGGCGAGATGCAAGCATCTTGAGGACGGGTTCAGGGTTTAGGGTCAGTTCGGGGGCTTGGAGTTTTGCAGTATTTGGGGCCGAGAGCCATCGAATGGAGCTTGTGATTCAGCGATGCGGGGCGGCATCCGGGCAGGCCAGCTCATTTGCTTGCTTTCTTGAATGAGGCTGGCTGCCTTTATGTCGAATCTCCAAGCGACGATTTGAAAACGTTAGCTTTAAATGGTACTTTGAGATGCGATGTTCTTGAGTCGTGGTCGGTCCCAAAGCCAGCTTTCGCTTCGCGATGGAGGGTTCTAGGAGACCCCTGCGTGCCTGGCGGGACCCGCCTGAAGAGATTTCAACAATTTGACGTGAACTCCATTTTTTGCATCGATAAGTTGTGCGAAAACCTCGTGAAACGCATTGCCGGCGCAGGCGGGTGCTGGCCGCCAGCCTGTTATTTCCGGTTTAAGTTGCTGTTAAAACTTTCATGACGATCGTTATGCCTTGTCTCGACTTCGCCTGACATGCATCTATAATATGAAGCTTCTCTGCGCCATGTGCAAATTGCCACTCGCAGGAGGAGTTGGATGGCATCCGGCAGTTGTTTGAGGAAATGGGTCTAGGCTGCGGCCTTACTCTCTATGATCTCTATGGCATCGCAACCTCATGGGATTTGGGGCCAGGCAAGCTCATGGATGACCCCGAGGCAGGTCTTTGGAGCCTCTGCTGGCCAGGGCTCTCCGGTGCTGTGTGCCGTCCTGTGCCATCAGGCACTGGCCAGATTTCTCCAGCGGGCGCGGTCTCTCGAAAAGGCGCCAGCAGGGGCTGAAAAGAGCTGTGGAAGGACACATTTTTGTTATCTCTAACTGCTCTTGGCGATGCAGATCTTCAAAGACCTGGGCCTGGAACACTTCCTCGACAATCCGGAGGTGGCGATGCTTTCGAGTCGTGTGGCGACGTCTCCCCTGCTCCGTCTCTGAGCAGAGGCGCTTCGAAAGGTCCTTGAGGCACTGCTCCCACTGTCCTGCGCCACGGCCCCTTCCTCGACCTTCAAACTGTTCGCAGGCCTTCGCAGATTTGGGCTTGGAGCACCTCTTGAAGAACCCGGAGGACCTCCTAAACCCCAAACCTTCTGAGCCTGTCTCCGAGAGCATGTCCGAGAGCTAAAAGGAGCTCAAGAGCTTCTTGCAGTCGGCCAAGCAGCTGAAGGAGATGCTTGAGGCTCCAAGTCTCGAGCCTCGGATCCTCCCCTAAAGCCGAAGATGCCCGGGAGGCTAAGCCTAAAACCCGAACTCCCAAGACACATCAGTTGCAGTCGCAGCTGTCGCCCGTCCGCGAGTGCAGGCTGCTGGCTTCGGGGATGTTTTTGGCGACCCGTCGAAGCTGGAGGCGTGTATGCCGCACGATGCATGCCTTGGCTTTGTACGTATTCTAATAGCAGCAGTAGTAGGATGTTAGCCCCACTGGTAGTAGGACTCTGCCAATAGTCGTACTGCAATTCCTCACATGGCCGAAACCAAAGGATGCCTGGCTGCCTTGCGTATTTGGGAGGAGCTCAAGCAGAGTCTGGATTTGCTCAGGCGGTCGAAGCCTCATGGGGCCATGCAGGAGGTCTGTCGTCTGTAGTTTGTGGTGCCAAGGGTTCGTGACCTCTTCGAAAAATATGGTCTTGGCGATGCCTTCAAGGTCTGAGTCCTGGAGAGGACCGAGGGCATGAGTCTGTAGGGCGGATGATACTTGGCAAGGACCCTGCGTTGCTGGAAGAGATCCTGTCCAGGTACGAGGCTGGGTCATGGATTCTCGGCAGGGCATTGGGGTTGAGCACAGAGCAAGCAGAGCAAACGCGACCTGCAGGGACTGCGCAAAGCTTTTGAAGAATATGGTTTCTCGGAGCTGTTCGAGGTGCCCGATGCTTCATGTCATACAGTTGTTCATTTCTCCGTGGCAACTTGACGATATGGGAGGAAATCTGTTTGACATGGGATGATGTGGGATGAGACGCCGGTTTCAGAAGATGTAACGAACAAGACGAGCTAAGCGAAATGGAATCGGGGAGAATCATTACTGTATTTCCATGTATGAGATCGCTGACTCGTATGCTGGTTGAATCATGAACTCGATGTCGCGCATTCGCAAAAGTCAGTGGCTTTGCAATGGAAGTATGATTGTCATACCGTGGGAATTTACGTCGGAAGTCTGTTCGACAATCGTGTCCGTCCAACTGTATCACGTAAACCCTACTGCACCAGCAGTGCGACCCCCTGGAGGATCCATACAACCTCAAAGGCTTTTTGAGGAACTACGCCAAGCTACGTCAGGTGCTTCGCTCAGTAAAGCCTTGGCAAGCCGAGCAAAGAGGCGCCTCTTGCTGCTTTCGAGGCCTTCAAGGACCTGGGATTAGAGTATCTTCTGGACAGCGCTGCCGCCGCTCAGCTCGTTGGTACCTGGACAAATAAAAGCACCTGCCGGCTTCGATTCCAGGCCATGCGAGATTTTCTCGCAGGCCACACCTCTGGAGAGAAGGACCGAGAGCCATGGGCGGATAAAATTTTGAGGGAAGGCCGTGGTGTTCAGGAACCCTTGACAGCCCTTGAGATTGTAGGAGCTTCTCGACCTTCGCGCAAAAGCGTCCAGGCTGGATGAGGCACACCCGAACGCTCCCAACTTCTGAAGCAAATCGCATTGGATCTCTTAGTTACTTGATGTTTGTGAGCAGGCCGAGGAGAAGCTCCGACGCAGGGACGAAGAACTCGCCATGAGCCCATCTGATTGGGGCTAGCGAGACATCGGGGCAGTCGATTGCATGTCTTTGGTGGGATGAGTGCATGAGGCTAGAGCACGAGAGGAGGCCAAGCAGATGCGCGATCGGCAAGGGGCACAGCTGCAAAATGCGGAAAAGGCCTTCCCTTCCTCGCCTCCGTTTTTCAATCAATGAAAACCAACCCTAAACCCTAAACCCCTAAACCCCAAACCCCTAAACCCTAAACCCTAAACCCCTAAACCCTAAGTGGCTTTGACCGAGGCTTGCAGCCTTCGAAGCCATTGGAGACCTCGAGTCGATGAAGAAGTGGAAGAGCGTGCCTTGGATTAAAGGATGGCAGTTCTTCTTATGGTTATACTGCCATGGCTACAGCTTATTATGATAATTGCTATTATTACGATGATGATCATGATGATGATGATGGGGACAACTATGCTTACTATGGCGGTTATTGTTGTTACGAAAGTTAGTGTTGCTATTTTTGCTACACCTAAAACGGTTGTTGTTCTTCTACTTCTTGTTATCATGATTACTATTACTATTGCTGTTGTTTTTGTTCTTATGATTATTACTCTTCTTATTGTGATTATTGCCACTATAATTGTTATCGTTCTTATTCTTAGTATTCCTACAAGTTTATGGTAATTGCCATTATCGTTAATATGATTGTGGGGATGAGCTTTTTATGATGGGCGTTCCTATTTTGCCCGGAGCCCGCCCCGGCCATAGCCATCGCCGTTGTGTGGCAGGACTTGGAGGTTCATGGGTAGT